TATACAGAAGAATGCAAACTGACAAATTTGACAGTACAAATACTAGATACATCCTTGTGGCTATGTAAATCTGCTGAAATTAGATAACAAGAAGTCTGTTTAAGAAGACTCAAGTAGAGAGGTAGTTGGATCTTCAATGGCCTTACTGTAAAGGCTAGATTAAAGAAACAGATACCAAGATCATAGTACCTAATTGTAGTAGCCAAACAGACAAGAACCTTCAGGTTGGAAGTCTCAGAAATACTACCGACCAGACTGTCAAAATGAACTAAAGAAAAAAAATATTAGGCTGATCTGATATACTAATAGACTGGTCATAGTTCTACATAAGCTATCTGAATTAAGAGTTTGGTAAAAGACAAATAAAAAGGCAGGAATATACTAAAGTACTAAGGTTATGCTATGAAGTAAATGCTAAGGTTTAAGTAAACTTTACAAGAACATAGCAGTTTAATAGTTAAGCTCTGTTTGCAAGTGTTAGTTCTGCTATAATGATACTTAGGTTAGTTGTAAAAATGAATACAAAAGGCTTTGGAGGTTTACCTTAAGAATAAAATAGTCCTAAGATTAAGACAATAATCTAAACATCAGATATAACCTAGTGAAATTAATAGGTTTGCAGGTTCAGAGAGTTTAAAGTAGAATATCTAAATAAGAGTGTTAGATACAGCAATTGGTAGAAAACTTTCAGATAGACTCTTTAAATAGATAATATAGAAAAGTTACACATATAGCCAATTGTATACTCTTTCTGTAATAGTTTACTGAACTACATTTACTATCATTAAATAAAGTCAAAAGACTCAAAAGATTATCTTAAAAAATAAAATAAAATAAAATAATAATAGTAAATAATTTATAATCAAATATATAAAGTTATATATATAGATATTTGTGACCTAGTAAAGTGTCAAGTTGTTAATTCTTCAAGTGATATGTTGGGTGTTCAAATTCTATTAATAGCAAAACTTTGAATAATCATCTATGTAATCTGGTATTATAGCAGCTGTTTCTAATAATTAGGTTAAGTTATCTGTAATTATGATTACATTAGCATGACTAACTGGTTATAGAATATTTGTATAACTTATTATACAGAGTAATGCAAACTGATATTAGGTGATGCAAACTTAAGATAAATACTTGTAATTATATAAATCTGTAAAAATTGAAAAACAAAAAGTTTATTTGAGAAGATTTGAATAAAAAGATAACATAGATCTTTAATAGTGCTACTGTAAAGGCTAGATCTAAAAAACAAATACCAATGCTAAAGTAGCTAAACAGGCAAGAACCTTCAGATTGCAAGTCTCAGAGGTACTACCAACTAGGCCATCAGATTAGACTGAAGAAAAAAAATATCAGGCCAATCTAATATATTAATAAACTAATCATAGTCTTATATAGTCTATTTGGATTAAAAGTTTAATAAAAGAAGCAAAGATATACTAAAGTACTAGGAATATGCTATAAAGTAAGTACTAAGGTCTAAGTAAACTTTACAAGAACATAGCAGTTTAATAATTAGCTCTGACTGCAAGTGTTAGTTTTGGCATAGCAATATTTAGATTAGTTACAAAAAATAAATATATAGTAGGCTTTGATAAATTTATCTTAAGGATAAATATTTTAAAATTAAGATAAAAGATTCAGACTTGATTTGATAAAGTAATATGAAATAAGTTTAAAGGATTTAAATAAAACATCTAAGCAGAAGTGTTAGGTATAGCAATTGATAAAGAATATTAGGCAGACTCTTTAAATAAATAATATAGAAAGTTATACAAGTAACCAATTGTATACTTTTTTTGTAATAACTTTTTATAGAACTACATTTCTAAAAATATGTTAATAAAGTTAAAAGACCAAAAAGGTTATCTTAATATCAAAAAAAAAAGTTTATATATATATATCAATTAAATACATATTACAATATTTAACTTTAATATATAATGACAAAATTATTTTAAATCTAAATAGCTAATCTAATTTTTATTATTTGATATTAGTATCAAGACAATAATAAATTATATTATTATAGTCTGCATAGTTTTTATTAATCTATTATAATTAACTTTTACTTAACCTAACAGATATGTTTTAAATATGTCTCAGATATAGTAGAAACAAAGTTAAAAATTGGCAAACAATGTTTATGTATAATGTTTTATCAGAATATAATTGTAAATCTAAGATATAAAACATTGTCTAAAACTGTTCATGTTTCTATAAATTGGCAAAACAATATCTGTATACAATACTGTTACTAACCAAGTTGTCAAAAGTCTTAAACTGAAGAAAAATAATATTGAAAAATGAAACTTTAGTATACTAGAAACAGATCACAGTCTTTTTGAATTATCTGAATTGGGAGTCTAAGAACAAAACCAAAAATATACTATAAATACTAAGGATATGTTATAAAATCAGTACTGGAATCTAAGTAAACTCTACAAAGATGAACCCTGTTAACAAGGACTAAATATAGATAGTTAGTTAACAGAAAGGTTTCTGAAACCTTACAGTTAGGTAATGTACTCTAAAATATATAACAACTTAACAAATATATAGACAAAAGATTAAGGTTAAGTTAGACAACATTTTGGTATATGAAAACTTGTGTGCTATTTGTCAAATGTAGTATAGAAATCAGAGTATTTAATTAGATAATCTTTTAGCAAATTACAGATATAACAGCTAGTGTAAAACCTGCAGGCAGACTATTTAACTAAATAGCCAAAAGCTGTACATGTGACTAGTTGCATATTCATCTTGTACAAGTTATATAATCATAATTAAAGCACAATAAAGCCAGTAGTCATTGATAACTAACAGCCTTAGCAAAAGCAAAAAAAAAACTATAATATAAATTTATAATTATAATTATTAGTTATTATTAATAAGACAATTTTTTTTATAGTTTTTGTTTTATAATTTTTATTATCTCTGTTTTTGTTTTTTTTTTATTTTTTTATAAGATGTTATTAAATTAACAATATTCTATTATAGAATAATAGTTGTATACATTCTTAAATCAGTAATATAAATTAAATTTATATAACAAATGCAACATCTATAAGTTTAAATTTACATGTATATTAATTCTTTTTATATATATAATATGCATATGAATTTTTTTTATATATGTTGCATAAATAAAATTTTTAATTTTTTAACATTACCTTGAAATACTCTTGTTTATAAGAAATTAGATAACTAATGCAGATAAATTATTTGTAAATGCTTATAAAAAATAACTATAAAATGTCAACTTAGTACATTAAGTCTAAAATTGTTTTACAATAAAAAATAACAAGACTGCCCAAAAAAAAAAATAATGCACCTGATTTATCACTTTTGTAACATATCACTTTTACGACAAAAAAGAAACTCGGATTGTAGCATGTTTTTTTTTTGAAACTTTATCATTTTAATATGTACTTAGGTTGTACAGTAGAAATCATCTGATCTTTGTCAAAAATAATACAACAGGTTAATGCATAATTATGCATTGGCAATACCAGCTATCGAAATTTTAATATTTAAAAAAGATACTATTTGTGAATAAAATAAAATAAAAATTGAAAAGATCCGGAATTGCGCGAAATATTGCGATCTAAAAAAAAAGTTGGTTTGTTGCATTATTTTATGATCGCCACTGTAGTGTATTGTACAGAAGATAATTTAATATAGTATTTTATAAAATTTTGGAATGATACGATAAAGTACGAAGATACATATATATTTAAGATAATTTCATACTGTATTGTATAAAATACGACACAGTACACCACTTATAGTAATGCAATAAACGATTAGAGAGGATTATATAGTATGTACTGCAGATACCAAATTCGCTAACCACTATTGATGTGATCCATTGATTTAACAATCGGCATATTCCGCGAATTTGGTGCAATCCGTATTTTTTTGTGCTATCTGTAGGATAAAATTTGATTACCGATTTGAACTTTAAAACGAATCCATATGCATTTTGCCGATCATCCTTTCAATCCAATGAATCTAATCAAACCATTGAAACCATTCAATCCATGCGGATTGATGATCCTGTTTTATCTTTAATTATTTTAAAAAAAGTCTGCTAATGAGGAAGATGCCGAAGCATCGACTAAATCTGATAACAATTCTAATAAAAAGACTAAGGTCAATGATGCCCGTGGTGGTAGTAAGGTTAGAAGTTGGATTTGGTTGTGTTGAAGGCGTAAAACATGCAGTTCGTAAGGTTGAGGTGGTAAAAGGGAAAAAGTGCGGTGTAAATTACAAGGTTAAAAATTCAACAGCAATTGCTTTACTCACCTTCCGAACGTCATGGGATCAGGGATCACTGAAAATCAGGCTAAAATAAAATTGATTGGATCATAACCGATTCTCAGCCACTGAAAACCCAGCTTTTTAAAAAAGTTAGATCTAAAGTTTAAAATTCCATGTATTAAATCTATAAAGAAACTTGTACATATTTCTTACAACCATTCTTTAAAATTAATAATGAAAAAAATAAAACCCGATTCAACTTCTGTATCTTTAACTTGTGATCTTTGGATCGGGAAAAATAGACAAGTTTTCTGGGCATAACATGTTCTTACCTTGATCATGAATTTCAATTTCATGAGATCACACTTTCAGTCAAGCATATCCGTCATTTACATGCCGCCGAAAACATCAGTAATGCTTTCATTGTTTTTGGATGAGTAATAACCATTGATAACTGTAAGAACATGCAAAAAGTTGTTAAAAACTTGAGAGAATCGGTGAAAAATGTTTGAACATTTGGACATATAACGTGACAATACTGATTAACATTACTAAAATATTCTCAGAATACTTTACTGTGTAAATGTTGGCTTATATTACATTAATAAATCAAGTGAATATAAGTATAAATTTATTTATTTTGATTGAAAAAATAGTATTCAAATTATATCTAGGAATAATCATTATAGGATATCTTTATCGGAAAGGAAAACATGGCTTTCTTGGTATCACTTGATTTGTATTTTTCGAATCAAATTTTGGTACTTGGTTGCTCCTCTATTCACAAGATCCTAAAAGTATATTGTGTAATTAAATGACCTATAATAATAAATATATAAATTACTTTCAGATGCCTACCTGAATTGTAACAATCACTTGAAAACAGTTCATAAGTATTCTCCAAGTTGAATCCTCTGGAAATCTAAATTCTCCGATCAATATCAGATGATAGATCCAATCATAAAGAAGATCAATAACATAGCATCTACCAATATAATCAGAATGTAAAGAAAGTTCATAAATTATTCATTACATTATGACAAAATTTTTGTGCATGCCCTTGGTCACCGTGCCCACAACCCTACACACATTACATACTTACCGATAACATGAAGCCCACAGATAACAATATCAACCCCATCGTCTAATGACTTATCTAAAGATGCTCGCATCATTTTACCCAAAGCTACCAGATCTTCATTTACTAAATCTGATCGCGCATTCGGTGGTTTTATTTCAGCGAACATCAATTCAATAGATTTTTTTAGGTTAGTAGTTCTTATTGTAAAATCAGGCTTTGAACCAAGAAGAATATGGTCAAATTGTTTTTTAATCCAAGCAGACTATTCTGATGCTCTGTTTGCCCTAGATTCAGATGAAATAAAAAAATATGTAAGTTATACTTTTAATACCATATAATTTACTTTGTATACATACCAATCCATAATTGTTTTTTTACCTTCCGGAAAAAATGGTTTAATCACAGAGTCTAGATCGTTATGAGAATGTGTGTCTTCAATTTTATTATTTTTTAACAAACAAATTTTGATAACTGCCGGATCTAAATTATGCGGGACTTACGTTAGAACGCATTCAAGATGGAGTTTTGCAGTAATATATAAACCTTCAACAAACTTATAAACGATAAAGAATATCGTGCATTATTTTTTCAAATCCTCCATTAGCCTTGTAACTTCTAAGATAACTTTTTATTTCAGTTAGATGCTGTCGAGGGTCTTGTTGTCTGGATGCGATCTGAAATTATATAATAGCTTAGATATTAAATTGCATGTATCTCAAAAATAATTTTCTCATTGAAAATTTCTACCTTCACAACTGTTCCGCACAAATAAAAGACTTATTCTGGAATATCAATGTAAGAATATTGTGTACGAATTTCTAAAAAAAAATACACTGCCATAACCCATCATCGAAGAATTCACGAAGTCCTTGTAAATTCTCTTCTTGGAATAGAAATACATGACTTAAAGCACTGTAAAAGAGGTGAATTAATTAAAGTGTATTGCCAATAATTAAGAGACAATATTATACATACAGTTCTTCATCAGAATTTAATATTGCCCTTGTTTTGCATTTTTCAATTATAGAAGCTCGGTATTCAGCACAAATAACGGAAATATCTACTTCATTAATGATCCACTATTGATAATAAAAAAATTACATAACTATCTAACCGTAAATATAATTTGCAAAATATTGAATTACTTACCCTAGTAGCATCTTCTGTTAGTTCTCATTTAACATTTCCGAGTCCTATAAAATAATCAATATAATATGGCTTTTTGCCTTAATTGAATTTTCTGAAGTCGGAGAATCAAAATATAGAACATAGGATTCATCCGTTGATGCTGATGAGAATTTTGTGTTTTTGATATCTAAAGTTTTGTCTATAGGTGGTCGTAAGTTGTACATTTTACACAATGGCTGCGGTGGAGTAGTATATTTAGTCCTTTTGATCTCTTGCTTATCATCAAAATCGAATTACCAGTAATTGTCATCGTCGGATTGTAAAAATACACAGAGCAATCATTAGCTAATTTACGCATCTCCCATTTTCTTGACAACTTATAATCATTTCGAGGTTCCTTGTAAAGAAAATTAAAAAAAAAATCAATAAATTAATGATATTCTTAATATACTTTAATTTTCTAATTATTTTTTACACCTCATTAGGTCAGCAAAAAGCCTTGAACATCAGACAACCAAGAAGGCCATCTGTGCCCTATGAGACCAGTGTTGAGTCAGCAAAAAGCCTTGAACGTCAAACAACCAAAAAGGTCACTTGGGCCTCACACCGGTTTTGTGGTTCAGCAAAAAGCCTTGAATGATAAGAACCGAGAAGGCCCCTATCACACCACTTAGTTTCTTCCCACATCTTCAACCAAAAATTTTACTCGCCTCCTTATACATTTTGAGAAGTATACACGTTGTTCTGAGGCAATAATGTTATTAAGAAACTTAATATAAGCATCTATCTTCCTGCAAAGGGTTCAATGTCACTTTCATCCAAAAAAAAACTTAGAATTCTCCAAGCTGATGATTTACGACTGAAATATTCATGGATTTCATTTTGCATAGTATCAGTATCCTGTATCTTATCAGTTATAAAAAGAACGATAATCAAAAAAATTAAAAAAATCCTTTTAAATCATTATTTTAGTATTTATTGTTTGGAGCACCTTTAATTTCTACGCGTAGTGGCGTTCTTGATGTGTTCTATTTAAAAACATCAAAAAAGTAATTTCGAATTTTCTGTCCGTCCATGATCTAAAATATAACTTTTGATTCAACGTTTATTTAGCTAATATTAGGGTTAGGGAGATCCAGATTAGGGTTAGAGAGGTTTTTATATATAAAATCGACTTTTTGACACTTTTTATTAATATTTCATGGTAGGTTTTGACTTTTGTTTCTTGTATTTTTTGTATTTTTCTCTTCATTTTGGTTTGTTTTGTTAGGCTGATTGAATGATCTTCAAATTCGGTTCCGGGATCAACTTTACTTAGTAAACTTAAAAAAAAAAGACCAGTTATATAATACTTTATTAATCAAAGAACTTTCTAGTAAACATTTTGTTAAGAAAATTAATTTGAATCATGTTAAGTTATGCAATAAAAAAAATATTTATTAAGAGTTAAAATATTGTCTACTGTATAATAAGAGGTAATAAAAAATATAAGCAACTGTTATACAGGCCTCTCAATTTTGATATTTATACCTTTTCTTTATAAATTATTTGTTTAATTTTTTTAACTTTGAACAAAAATATCTTAACAATTACCAGATTAAATTTAATAAATTTTTTTTATTTGAATTCTATAAATCTGTAAAATTTTAAAAAAACATTATCAAATTTAACTTGATGTTGTTGAGATATCTTTGTTTAAAATTTAAAAAAAAACTTTAAAACATTTATCAAAATAAAAGCTATATTAAAAATTTTCTTAAACTTTGAGCAAAAATATTTTAATAATCATTAAATTAAATTTAATAAACTTTTTTTTAAATTTTATTAATCTTTAGCTTGATGATTAGTAAAATATTTTTGTTCAAAGTTTTAAAAAAATTTTTTTTATTAAAGTGACCTTTTTGATTTTTTAATTTTTATTAATACTTTTTTGATAATATGTTCTATAAAGAACTACTACAGAAGGGGTGTGGCAATCTAGTGAAGTGAATAGGTTGTCAACTCTCAAGTGGCAGGTTTAGAGTTCAAATCCCAGTGATGGTGAAAATTTGCAATTCTTTCTGTATTACAGCTAACTGTCTTTCGTGATTGGTTGGGATAAGATACCTGTAACCCATGTTATACCAGCATGACTAGAAGGTCTAGACACTCATACAACATTGTACAAGGGAACACAAACTGGTACTGGGTGGTGTGAACCCAAGATAAGTCCTTAGGCTGTGTAAATCAAGGGAACCAGGTAGGAAGATGAAAGCCCACTTGGAAAACCCAAGTAAAGAGATAACCCGAACCTTTAACAGTGCTACTGTAAAGATTAGACTTATAAAACAGAGCTAGAACTTGTAAAACTAGGCAAATGTGCTGGTCTTTGAAGAGGGACCAAATGAACCAACCAGGCTGCTAGAATTTTCAAGTTCCAGAGGAAAAGGGCACATGTCGGCAAACATGTAAACCAGAGGTGTATAGTTTCAACCTACCTTTCTGGGCTATCTGAAATGGCAGCTTGGTAGAACTTGAATTGAATACCAAAGTAGTAAGGATATGTTGTGAAGTCAGTACTGGAGTTGAGATGAACTCTACAAAGGCATAGCAGTTTAATGATACACCCTGACTGCAAGTGTTGGTCTTGGCCATAATGATACCAGGTCAGCTGTAAGAATGGGATACAGAAGATTCTGAAAGATTTAGTACAAGGTCAAAGGTTCCTCATCTGAATGAACTATTTTAAAGACTTAGTAACTATGGCATATTTGAACCAGTATCGATCAGGACATCTTGGTAGGTATAGGTAGGTGAGTAGATATGGGAACAGAGTGATTAAATAGGAAACCTACAAGCAGGTTCCAGGTATGGCAGCTAGTATAGAACCTTTAAGCAAACTACTTAAATTAGACAATAACTAAAGTTGTACAAGTGGTTAGTTGTACACTCTTTTCATAGTTGCCTTCTGTGGTTGTAAAGCAACCATTAGCTAAATGTATTATTAATAAAATCCTGAGTCACAAGTACTCACTTTAATATTTAAAAAAAAAAAAAGAACTACTACAGAAAGAGTATATAAGTAGTTATATATATAACATTTTTATATTACCTATTTAAGAAGTTTATTCAAAGATTTCTTACTAATTGCTATATTTAACATCTTTGTTTAGATATTTTATTTTAAACTCTTTGAACTTGCAACTTGTATTAATATCACTAAGTTATACTCAAATTATCATTTCAATTTTAGGATTATTTTATTCTTAAGATAAACTTCTTAGAATCTTTTGTAACTATTTTTACAACTAAATTAATATCATTATAGCAGAACTAATACTTGTAGTTAGAACTAATTATTGAACTACTATACTCTTACAAAGTTTATTTGAATACCAGTATTATTTTATAGCATTCTTCAAACCTGTTTGTAAAAAGTGTTTTAGATTATTTTTGCTACTATATTTGCAAATTGTTGTCTTATTTTTGTACTTAGAAGTCATATTAATTTGTTTTGTATTGCTTTTGAAATTAGACTTTTAATTAGTACTTTTCTTATTTTTATTTTTTCTGACTTTGTTTTTTAAAAATTATTATATATAATATATAAAATAAAATCTAGATTGTTTCTTTTTTTTAATTTTTTTATATTATTATAATAAATTCTTTTTAAATTCTTTTTTAAAGACTTGTTTGTCTTTTATATGATATTAAATATGCTTATATTTTTTTAATTTTATTTTAACAAATTTGACATTTTATAATTATGTATATATTTGTCTTTTTCTATTAAGTTTCTTCAAAATTAAAAGTTTATTCAATACATATTTTATTAATATACTTCTTCTTGCACTACTTCTTCTTGTTATGCAGTATGTTCTTTTAGTTAATTTTAGTCTTTTTTAAAAATATGTTCAATTATAGATTGTTATTTTTATTTTTAGTTTAAATTTTTAATTGCTATTATTTTTCTTCATTTTGCTTTTAATTTGATATTTATTATTAGTTTGTATAAAAAACTTATTAGTATATTAATTTATTTGTTTTTTTACTTTAAACAGTACTTTATCACTTTATAACTAACTTTTTTTATATATATTATCTTGTTTTTTTTTGTAAA